TCAGCCTGCGACATAAGAGCCGATGAATGGGTAAACTTATTCACTTCCACAGCACTAAAACTATTTTAAGGATTATTTTTTAATCTCGAATTTCCAGTCGTTTACACAAATTTTGCTTTTAAAAGTGAACTAGCCTTTTTAAGTTGCAGGCATGAGGATTGCATGATCACCTAACTGGTAGCCTCTTTTGTCACCGTCATTTGAGTAGTCACACAATGCTCATAGAGAAACAGAGATTTCATGTAACACAACGAATCGACAACGAAATTTTCTAGCTAAGAACGTTAAGTGCAGGTGTTCAAGGTTTGTTTCTTGAGAAGGTTCTTGTGCGTAAAAGAGAACGGTCATTCCAGAGGTTATCCTTCAGTAAAATCTGCAAAAAGAACAAAAAACCTGCGTGAGGGGAAAGCTTTTCTACATCACAAAACAAGTGAAAACAACTGGGGAGAATTTTGTAGCTTTAAGTCGTTAATTGAAGAGAGTACAATTTAAATGATCTACAAGCACTCTTACTAAGTATATAGGTGTGGTCTCTTCCAGGCGTCTGGTTAGATGAAGAGCAACGCAACGAGATCAGAACAAAGAACGAAGAATGGGCAAAGACCCCCACCCCCATCCCACCCCCCTTTTTTCACTCGCATTTCATCATCACGCCACCCTCAACTAGTCGATCAACTAACCAGTCTAAATGTATGAAGTTCGTTGTTTGTAATCCATGTTAATTTTCTCCATCCTTAACCATCCTTGTTCCTTTATGGTTTATTATTATCCCCTTGGTGTGTTTCTGTCTTAGTAAACTACTATTTTCAGATATCCTTCAATTGAAAGGTCATTTTGTACATGGCCAAAATTACTCAAAATGCTGTGACTAAGCCCCTTAAATACTAAATATGAAGAAAAAGGACCTATTTCGATACATTAAAATTCAGCCAATAAACCTCAGTACAAGGCTCTGGGGAATAACTACAGAGTTTGTGGGGTTTATTCCCCAGAGCCTCGCGCTGAGGTCTACTGTGTTCGGCTGAATTTTAATATATCAAAATTGGTCTGTTAATTGAGAATTGGCACAACAAATCAACTGATCTTACCTCAGTCCACCATCTCCATATTGTTGTTGTCCATTTGGCTCTCGTTGTCATACTCTGGGTATTCACCATTTGGCTCTTCCTTGATTCTTTCTCCTTCACGATCACGGTCACGATCCCGATCACGCTCTTTGTCACGCTCTCTTTCTCGGTCACGATCCCCGCGATCACCACGATCACCACGATCTTTGTCACGGTCACGGTCGCGATCACGCCGCCTCTCCCTATCCCTGGTGACGAAAAAGGATGTCACACAATCGTGTGTAAAACACTCATCAAAGACCCAAGGGCCAAGGCTTATTATAGATCGTTTTCACCCGACGTCATCAAGTTCTTAAATCCAAAACTAAAGAGCCACCAAAGTTTTTATCCTCATCAGGCATAAGATGTGCTACTGTTACATCTGTTCACAACTTTTCAGCTCAGTAGCGTGCTTCGTTTGGAAACCAGACCATTTCGAATTTCGGAGTTATGACNAATTTTCTAGCTAAGAACGTTAAGTGCAGGTGTTCAAGCTTTGTTTCTTGAGAAGGTTCCTGTGCGTAAAAGAGAAAGGTCATTCCAGAGGTTGTCCTTCAGTAAAATCTGCAAAAAGAACAAAAACCAGCGTGAGGGGAAAGCTTTTCTACATCACAAAACAAGTGAAAACAACTGGGGAGAATTTTGTAGCTTTAGGTCGTTAATTGAAGAGGGTAGAATTTAAATGATCTGCAAGCACTCTTATTAAGTATATAGGTGTGGTCTCTTCCAGGCGTCTGGTTAGATGAAGAGCAACGCAACGAGATCAGAACAAAGAACGAAGAATGGGCAAAGACCCCCACCCCCATCCCACCCCCCTTTTTTCACTCGCATTTCATCATCACGCCACCCTCAACTAGTCGATCAACTAACCAGTCTAAATGTATGAAGTTCGTTGTTTGTAATCCATGTTAATTTTCTCCATCCTTAACCATCCTTGTTCCTTTATGGTTTATTATTATCCCCTTGGTGTGTTTCTGTCTTAGTAAACTACTATTTTCAGATATCCTTCAATTGAAAGGTCATTTTGTACATGGCCAAAATTACTCAAAATGCTGTGACTAAGCCCCTTAAATACTAAATATGAAGAAAAAGGACCTATTTCGATACATTAAAATTCAGCCAATAAACCTCAGTACAAGGCTCTGGGGAATAACCACAGAGTTTGTGGGGTTTATTCCCCAGAGCCTCGTGCTGAGGTCTACTGTGTTCGGCTGAATTTTAATATATCAAAATTGGTCTGTTAATTGAGAATTGGCAAAACAAATCAACTGATCTTACCTCAGTCCACCATCTCCATATTGTTGTTGTCCATTTGGCTCTCGTTGTCGTACTGTGGGTATTCACCATTTGGCTCTTCCTTGATTCTTTCTCCTTCACGATCACGGTCACGATCGCGATCACGCTCTTTGTCACGCTCCCTTTCTCGGTCACGTTCCCCGCGATCACCACGATCTTTGTCACGGTCACGGTCACGATCACGCCGCCTCTCCCTATCCCTGGTGACGAAAAAGGATGTCACACAATCGTGTGTAAAACACTCATCAAAGACCCAAGGGCCAAGGCTTATTATAGATCGTTTTCACCCGACGTCATCAAGTTCTTAAATCCAAAACTAAAGAGCCACCAAAGTTTTTATCCTCATCAGGCATAAGATGTGCTACTGTTACATCTGTTCACAACTTTTCAGCTCAGTAGCGTGCTTCGTTTGGAAACCAGACCATTTCGAATTTCGGAGTTATGACGGTGCGTGACAGCTATGATCGCGTTTGTCGAAAAATAGATACTTATCTCGCGATGTTTAGCCTTTTCAGAAGTTAGAGCATTAGGAAAACTGTTCATTTACAGGTTTGTTNAAATCCAAAACTAAAGAGCCACCAAAGTTTTTATCCTCATCAGGCATAAGATGTGCTACTGTTACATCTGCTGACAACTTTTCAGCTCAGTAGCGTGCTTCGTTTGGAAACCAGACCAATTCGAATTTCGGAGTTATGACGGTGCGTGACAGCTATGATTGCGTTTGTCGAAAAATAGATACTTATCTCGCGATGTTTAGCCTTTTTAGAAGTTAGAGCATTAGGAAAACTGTTCATTTACAGGTTTCATTTACAGGCTCCAGTACAGATAATCAGTCGCCAAGATAGCCAAAGTAAGTTCCAACATGGCGGCTCCTCACTGGGCTCTGTAAATTTGTGGAAAACGTTTCAACGAATATCTGAAGTTTGGGAAAAAGCACAGACCTAAAACTTGGAGAAGTGTCTTCTTTACATATCTTCTATAACATCACGATTTCGTGACTTTATCCACTGATTGGTTTTCGATTTATCAACTTTTTTGATTGCGTGGCAGTGAAAACGATCTGTTCTTATCACAAAGATTGCATCAGAAGAATACCATTTTCTCACCTGTCACGGTCGCGATCACGATCACGGTCTTTTTCGCGTGATCTACTTCTGTGTTTCCGACGTTCCTTTTCGCGGTCACGGTCGCGGTCACGATCTCTGTCACGTTCCCTGTAACGTTCACGATCTTTATCACGGTCACGTTCCCTGTAACGCTCACGCTCGCGGTCTCGGTCACGATCTCCTCTGTCCCCCCTATCTCTTTCGCGATCCCTGCCAAGTGAAAGAATAGATGATAACAATTATAGAAGCTTGGTGGTTGCGCAATTTTTTGGCAAAACTTATGCTGAAAAATGACTAGGAATCCACACATTTTCATAAAATAATTAACTAATCTTTGAATCCAAAGCAGGCCAGTCACTCGCCGTTAAGCGTTACTGTTTGATTATTTCACAGCTCTAAAATTGTACGAGCTACTCTGGTTCAATAACAGTGGAAAATGGTAATGTGTGGCTCCAAATTTTTGCGGGAGTTCTATTTCGCAGATCGGCGATTTTTTGTATTTTGCGGGAACTAATTTTTGCGATCGAGAAAGACTGGTTTTGCGAGCTGGTTATCAATTTTTGCGATTTTCAGAAACCCAAAGTCGAGTTTATTTCAAATACAACATTTTCGGCATATTTTTGGTATTACACTACGTGGTAATCAGTCACTCTGTTACAATTACGTCTTGCCCCAGTGCGGCTGATAGTACTTTCAGACGAAACTTTTCCATAAACGTTTTCGCAGCTACACCTGTAGTGTACCATGGGCAATTTCACCGTTTTATTTAAACGTCTTTTTAAATAAATAGAATCAAGAAGATTCTACATAATAAGGTTTGCAACTAAAATTTCGCCGGTGGAATAAATGTTTGAGGATAAAATTTTTGAGGGAACTTCCTTCTGCCGATCGCGGAAAAATACCGCAACAATCACAAAATGTAGAACCCGCAAAAATTTCTTGCCACACGGTAACGCATGAATATTGGCTTGCTAGCTGGCAGGACAGAAGCCTTGTTAAAAGAATAGCAAAAAAAACTAAACTGCAGTGATAAATACTGGGTTGGGATCAGTTAGCATTGCAAACTGAAAGGCATTCAGCTTGTTAAGTGTCAGTAAACCAATGCTGCTTACTCATATCTCTCTGTATTCTCCACGCGTCCTGAATGCTTGATGTTCTCATCTGGGCCACCAACACGAGTGCCACCGAGTCCTCCCCCTGCATAGAAAAAGATGTCCTTCACTTTGGAAAGCATAACACTAGATTCCACTTTCTTTGGTTTGGCTAAAAATTGTGCGTCCAGAAATTAGACTAGCTGGCAACTGACAGTATTATTTTGCTCCTTGCTCTCGATATTTTTTTAGAATTTAAGGTACTTGTCCCAGCAATATTTACAAGCAACGGTTTATCAAGAGCTGGGCCATAATTAAGCATAGAGAAATTTGGCTCACAGAACTCGCCAGTCAGTGACGATAAGAAACGTGATGCTGTTTGTTTGGCCATTCACCTTAGTCTTACCAACCCCCAAGGGCAGATTACCACAAGCATTTGATTAAGTCTTCGACTAAGTTTAGATCTTTCATTCTTGATATCACTTTTGATAAGGGAGTGAAATTCCCACAAAACAACAGCATGGCCCAAAGGTCAGCATGTCTGACTCACAATCCAGTAGCCCAGGGTTCAAGTCCTGTTCTGACGACACCCTGGAATTTGTTTTATGGTGGCCCCAAGTTCAAAACCTCAGCCACGCTTGTAAATACAACTGGTTTGCCTCCGGCCAGTTGGGATTCTTAACACTTTTCTGTTCAAATTGACTTATTTGTTTCAGTTGTTTGCTTGGTCCCATTAGCATTTGGGTTATAAACACTGCCAAGGGTAAATATAGGTCACTTATTTTATTTTATTTTTTTTACATGTTACACTGTCACCACTTCAAACTAATGTCAGAACTGTGTGAGAGTGGTAACTTTACAGTGTACATTTACTTCACAGTAAACTCACCAAGTCGTCTTGGTTTCCACGTCTTAACTGTGCGACCTCTCTCCACGTCCACAACAATCCTCCTGCCGTCGATCTTCTTTCCATCAGCATGCTTGTAAGCAGCTGCAACACAAACACAAAACAAGTGCAAATGTTAACAATGTCAGATTATTAGTGGAATAATGTGTATAGCAGTTTCAAGGGATGCATGACACTTACCTGAATACATCACTGGCAGAGACAATATTGACCTTGCAGACTTACAAGTCTTGCATACAACAATGTGCAACAAATATTTTTCTTTAAAAAATCAGACCATTTTTGCCTGCATTTTGCAAGCTGGCAGCTTTTATTTCAGTAGAAGAAAGAACTTTTTTTCACCAGAACTGTATTGTTTTTATTTTTTTCTTCAAAATGAGTCAATATAGTCTTTGCCATTGATGTCACATTTATCACTGCCAATTAACTTACCAACCAAGTGCACCCATGTCACCATTTTTTTATGGGCCTGGGTTGTTCCCTTCTTTATACAATTTGCGTTGTCTCTTAAGTGCAGTCACACCTCAAGTCATTCAGATTATGAGAAGCTCACATAAAGAGCCTTGAACTTGAGGGCAAGTATGGCCAGAAGTTGCATAATTTATTGAATCCAAAATTTATTGCATCACTTTGTGGAATTATCATTACACTACGTTCACTTTTCTATAAGCCACTACTGAATTAAATTCAGAAAAACAAAAAAATTCTGTATAACTGAAGGTTGACTGCATGATAGCGTGGATAAGCTGCTTTACCTCAAAATAATTTCAAGGGTTTATCACCTAAAGGACATGCTGCTTCCCAAAAAATGAACAAAGTGGGTCAACATCAGTTCAACTGCAACATTTAGGTACATTAGGTTGAAATTTCCTGGCAGCACTTCCCACTGCAGGAAACGGAATTAAGTCAAGGTTGAATACTGACAGAATTGTCAAGCTCTAGAACTCATTACATCTAAGAAACTTGATGATGACTACAAGAAAGATACAGTCATATAAATGGGTACAGGTATTTGAAAATACCTTTCCTCTGTAATATAATATACCTAGTGTACTGACACGTTGCAGCTGTACTAATGCAGACTTTCTCTCCTCATTTGTAAAGGGTGATTTATACAATAATTTTAAGATTTTCAAGTGACAACAAGGGGAAAAATTGTTTTCAATTTCCTGCAAAAAGACGCCAGGAGCAAGAAGTTGTACAAAGCCCACAAGAACATTTTACACCAACATACACTGCCAAAGAACCCTGGTTTTCATTCATTATTAATTTCTCTGGATTTGTTTACTTTCCATCCCAAGTTAAAAATCTGATTACCAAACATTTCTGTCAGTTCAGAGAATTTGGTGATAAATCATAGACTATGAGCAGTCCCTCTCTCGCTTAGTTTGTCATGTGTAACATGAAAGAAAATTGTGAGTAAAAAAATATGAGATCAAGTGCAAGATTGCGCTTTTCACGCCTTCAGGATTTTGGGTGGCGATTTTTCTCTTGCAGTTTTCTTTTGCATCATACACCACACGCTAAGTGAACGAGGGATTACTTGTAGTCTACATACATCAAAACAAAATCTCCTAGCTGACAAAATGTGTTAACTTATTGTCAGACAACTGCAAGGAATTCAAGGCGATGAAAAAATATGAAGTGTAAGAATACTCACACTCTTGCCAGGTCCTAACTGAACCAACATTACTCGGCAAAGAGTGGTGACATTCATTGCTCTCCAGTAGTGTGCGTGTGTCACTGGAGTTCCTTACCAGCACAGCCAGTGACCTCACCAAGGGAAGCCAATCAAAGGGCCTACCCCTGCCCTCTAAAAAATCTTTCTTTGGGTCAATTGAATACAGGGCATGCTAGTGATAACAGGCAATGAGAGTTTGAAATTAACTTTTTTTGGAAATAAACAAGAAATCAACGGTAGTGTGAAAAGTTGACAACCATTTAACAAAGAAATTTCAGTCATGTTATTAGCAAAGAGTAAAAACAATTTGTTAATGTATCCATAGAGTTATGTCAACACAAGATAACTCAACTATGGAAACTATGAATGCAATTTTTCCCAGAAAAGTACCTTAACACAGAGCCAAAAAATTATACATGTAAGGTACTTGGAAGCAAATTGCTAATTGGCTTCCCTTGGTAATACTCACCCGAGAGAATATTTAATTAATAGTTATTTAAAAAATCAATATTAGCCAATGATACTGTGCTGCAATTGGATTCAATGTTGGTTTAAGCGCAGTTTCAAAAGCCAAGCATGATGTTGCATTGCAGCTTATCGCAAGAGAAACTGAAAGCTCCTTTCCGAAATACAGTTATGCTGCACCTGCCTATATTGTCAAAGTTAACACTTTAACCTTGCATCTTCCAGTTTCCAGTGCAGCTTAACAGTCCAATTTATTTGTTTTAAAAAACATAATCATGTCCTTCGCACGTTGTAGCCTGCATGGCAGGTTTCACACCTGTTTCCCCTTTATTTTACTTCCCCAATAACCCACCATATGGTCTTAACACTTAGAAAACCAACTCTTTTATGTTCTTGTCTCAGTGAAATACAAACAACCCTCTTGGTATCATTTTTGGAACCAAATACTAGTTTGTTGGCCAATGTTGTTATCAGAACACTCCTATATGACTTATAGTCACCAGAAATCCCCTCTTTAACGAAAAGTATCCAAGCTTGATCCTTTACAAGAAAATTCCACTAAAAAGAATATTTGTGTTGCTTTTGTAGAAGTGTTGCTTGGATGATTTACTGTTTAAAATTTATTTTGCTTTCAAGGCTTTTACGTTCTACAGTACCTCTTCAGCTCACCAAAACTTGCCACATGTTGAAAGAAAATTAATTTCCAATCATTATGTAAGCCTTTCTTTCACTCTTCTACATTCCAGTGCAATTGTTTTATAGGAATAGGGTTAAATGTTTTTTT